CACTCACCTCAGCCTCCCAAAGGCGCGGGATGACAGGCTGAGCCACCGAGCCTGGCTATCTGTGCTTTTAAAGAGAGAGAAAAAGGCCGGGCACGGTGGCTCAAGCCCGTCATCCCAGTACTTTGGGAGGCCGAGGCGAGAGGACTGCCTGAGTCCGTGGGTTCGAGACCAGCCAAGGTAATTTGGCGAGACCTCGTATCTACAAAAATAGAAGAAGAAAAAGGAAAGAGAAGAAAAAACAACTGGTGGTGTGACAGGAACCAGTGGGCAGAGATTAATGACACATCTTTGTAGGAATGCCACTGTCTCCTCAAACCCAGCAAAAAACCTACTTTCCAGAGCTCCTTAGCTAGGCGTGGTAGCTCACGCCTATCATCACAGCACTTTGGTGAAGCCCAGGTGGGAGGAGGATCACTTGAGGCTTGGGAGTTCAAGACCAGCCTCAGCAGCATAGCAAGACCTCGCCTCTACCACAAAATAAGAGAAGCTTCTCTTGGCTGTTTTGTGCTACTCGAAGGCAGGTGGCCTTTGCTGGTGGCCCCCCAGGTGCGGTGCCAAAGCCGTCACTTCCACCTATTATTGTATTTCGAGCGGGGTCTCACTGTGTCACCCAGGCTGGAGGGCAGTAGCACGATCATGGCCACCGCAGCCTCAACCTGCTCGGCTCCGAAAAATCCTCCTGCCTCAGCCTCCCAAGTAACGGGGACTACAAGGACACGCCATCACCCCCGGCTAACTTTTTTACTTTTTGTAGAGCCGAGGGCTCACCATGTTGCCCACGCTGGTCTCGAACCCCTGGGCTCGGCCAGTTCTCTTGCCTCGGCCTCTCGAATTGCTGGGACGACAGGCACGAGCCACCGCGACCGGCCTGTCACTTCCTTCCACCGCAGTTAAAGAGATGGAGGCTCGGCTGGGCTTAGCGGCAAAGCCTGTCATTGCAGCTCTTTGGGAGGCCGAGGCGAGTGGATCGCCTGAGCCCGCGGGTTCGAGACCAGCCCGGGCAACTTGGCGAGACCTTCCTCTGCAGTAAATCACACACACACACACACACACACACGCGGGGTCGAGGCTCGCAGGGGTTGGCCCCCAAACCCTGCCAAGTAACAGATAAATGCCAACGAGCTTTTTCCTTTCCTCCAAGCGCAGAGCCGGAGTCTCGCAATGTGGCCCGGGCTGGTCTCCAACTCGCAGCCTCGAGCGAGCCTCCCGCCTCGGCCTCCCCTA